ATAAAGGCAAAGGGACAAAAGAGAGTGCAAAAAATTATAGGGGGATAAGTCTGTTGAGTATTCCTGGTAAAGTGTATGGTAAAAGATATTATTGAAAGAATTAAAAGTAAGAGTGAGAATAGGATAGCAGATGAACAAGGAGGCTTTAGGAAAGGTAGGGGGTGTGTGGACCAGGTGTTTACAGTGAAACATATAAGTGAACAGTATTTAGATAAGGCTAAAGAGGTCTTTGTGGCATTTATGGATTTGGAAAAGGCGTATGACAGGGTGGATAGGGGGCAATGTGGCAGATGTTGCAGGTTTATGGTGTAGAAGGTAGATTACTGAAAGCAGTGAAGAGTTTTTACGAGGATAGTGAGGCTCAAGTTAGAGTACATAGGAAAGAGGGGAAATTATTTCCCAGTAAAAGTAGGCCTTAGACAATGATGTGTGATGTCACCGTGGATTGTTTAATATATTTATAGATGGGGTTGTAAGAGAAGTAAATGCGAGGGTCTTGACAAGAGGCGTGGAGTTAAAAGATAAAGAATCACACATAAAGTGGGAGTTGTCACAGTTGCTCTTCGCTGATGACACTGTGCTCTGGGAGATTCTGAAGAGAAGTTGCAGAGATTGGTGGATGAATTTGGTAGGGTGTGCAAAAGAAGAAAATTAAAAGTGAATACAGGAAAGAGTAAGGTTATGAGGATAAAAATATTAGGTGATGAAAGACTGGATATCAGATTGGAGGGAGAGTGTATGGAGGAGGTGAATGTATTCAAATACTTGGGAGTGGACGTGTCAGCGGATGGGTCTATGAAGGATGAGGTGAATCATAGAATTGATGAGGGGAAAAGGGTTAGTGGTGCACTTAGAGTCTGTGGAGACAAAGAACTTGTCCTTGGAGGCAAAGAGGGTAATGTAATGAGAGTATAGATTTACCAACACTCTTATATGGGTGTGAAGCATGGGTGATGAATGTTGCAGCGAGGAGAAGGCAGGAGGCAGTGGAGATGTCATGTCTGAGGGCAATGTGTGGTGTGAGTATAATGCAGAGAATTCGTAGTTTGGAAGTTAGGAGGAGGTGCGGGATTACCAAAACTGTTGTCCAGAGGGCTGAGGAAGGGTTGTTGAGGTGGTTTGGACATGTAGAGAGAATGGAGCGAAACAGAATGACTTCAAGAGTGTATCAGTCTGTAGTGGAAGGAAGGCGGGGTATGGGTCGGCCTAAAAAAGGTTGGAGGGAGGGGGTAAAGGAGGTTTTGTGTGCGAGGGGCTTCGACTTCCAGCAGGCGTGCGTGAGCGTGTTTGATAGGAGTGAATGGAGACGAATGGTTTTTAATACTTTACGTGCTGTTGGAGTGTGAGCAAAGTAACATTTATTAAGGGGTTCAGGGAAACCAGCAGGCCGGACTTGAGTCCTGGAGATGGTAAGTACAGTGCCTGCACTCTGAAGGAGGGGTGTTAATGTTGCAGTTTAAAAACTGTAGTGTAAAGCATCCTTCTGGCAAGACAGTGATGGACTGAATGATGGAGAAAGTTTTTCTTTTTCGGGCCACCCTGCCTTGGTGGGAATCGGCCAGTTTGATAATAAAAATATATATATATATATATATATATATATATATATATATATATATATATATATATATTATATATATAATATATATATAATATATTATATATATATATATATATTTATATATATGTCGTGCCGAATATGTAAAACTGGTCAATTAGCAAGAACTCATTTAAAATTAAGTCCTTGGATTAAATAGCAATGCTCATCTTGCCATATAGGACAAGTGAAAATTTGTGTATGCAATAATTTCGCCAAAATCATTCTGAACCTAACAAAAAAAATATACTTCAGAGGGTTTGTTTATTATTAAATTATTGAAAACAAATCTAAAATATATTTAGTTGGGTTAGGCTATAATAAATTGCTCTTGTTATAATAAGGTTAGGTAAGTTTTCCAAGATTCTTTTGGTGCCAAATTAAAAAATTTTACATTAACATTAATGAAAGAAATATATCTTTAAACGTATAAGAAAAAATTTCAGAAAGGACTTAATTTTAAATGAGTTCATGCTAATTGACCAGTTTTACATATTTGGCACGACATATATATATATATATATATATATATATATATATATATATATATATATATATATATATATATATATATATATATATAATATATATATATATATATATATATATATATATATATTATAAAGTAGTGATGAAGGCGGCTCAGTGGCTCATGCGGCAGAGTGGCTTCCTTTTCCTGAGCAGTCTCTGTGGCAGAGTGGCTTCCTCCTGAAAAGGGCTGTGGCTGAGTGGCTCCTTTTCCTGGGTGGCTCCTTTTCACACCTATATGCTAATGACCTTAACCTCGCCCTCGAGACCACCTCACCTTCGAGACCACCTCACCCTCGAGACCACCTCACCCTCAACCCCCACCCTCAAGCCCCCACCCACGACCCCCACCCGCGCCCCCCGCGCCCCCACGCCTGCGGCCCCGCACCCAAATGAACCCCCACCCACGCCCCTGCACCCCCAAGCCCGCCCCTCGTGCCCGCCTGCACCCCTCGCACCCGGCCGTCGCGCCTGACCGTGCCTTCTGCTGCGCCTTCTGCAGCGTCGTCCGGGTCGCCCCCGCGCCCCGAATTTTTTTCCGATTTTTTTCGATTTTTTTTTTAATTTCATTTTATTGTGCTCTCCACATCCTCGAATCAAGTTTTTGGATTCCCCCTCTCACTTTCACCCCCACCCCAAATTTTTTCGAATTTTTCTCGATAATACAAAGACTCCAATTCCTCGGATCAAGTTTTCTCGATATCACTAATACAAAGATTTCCCTCACCATCCACTTCTACCCTCTATGTCCAAGTATTTCTCCTCCATCTCCTCGGGATCAAGTTTTTCTCGATAATACAAAGACTCCATCTCCTCAGGATCAAGTTTTTCTATATATAAAATAATACAAAGTCTCTAATTCCTTGGATCAAGCTTTTCTCGATAATACAAAGACTCCATCTCCTTGGATCAAAGTTTTTCTCGATAATACAAAGACTCCATCTCCTCGGATCAAGTTTTTGGATTCCCCCCTCTCAGAGTAAGCATTCAAATGAACTCCTCCTCTGGGGCATGGTACTTTCTCTTACTACAGGTCTAAACAAGTGTGACGTCACCCCACCTGTCTTTACTCGGCGGTCAGTGATGTCACGTGATGACCTCACACATACAGGTTGAATCTTGTCGACTTCCCCCTATGTCAGTGACGTCACGTGATGACCCCGCACACAGGCTGAATCTTGTCTAGCAGACATTAACTTAAAAGGCAGGATAACACTATTTATTATACAATCAATGCATTTCATATACAACATAGGGAAAACATTTTCACTCTTAACCCAGGATAACCCAAATAATTTCACATTTTCTCGTTAATACCCACAAAAATCCACAATTTCTTTACAAAATACAACACAAGTCTAGACATTTTTCTCGTTTTAACTATTTCATCAGAAAAAGCTGGATCTACGCCAGGACGTCACATTGACCTGGACAATCTACACTGCTACAGCTGCACTACAAGTACTGTATCACCTATGAGTGGTTGTTTGGGTGTGGGGTCCAGGTTCCAATTAACCGCCAAGCTGAATGTGAATGGTCTAACTCTCATAGCACGATAAAGAATAGGCACTCAAGTATTCAATAAGGTTTAGCAAGTGGTAATCCATTGAACAAGGCGATTAACTCACTATAAGCAGGTCGATATAGGCAACACTGCAAGGGAGTCAGGTCACAAGAGGTTGTGGACTAAGCAACAACTGAGAATCTACATTACACTCCAAGCACAACCCTACTTTTCAGACACTAAAAAACCCAACATTATTACACAAATTACACACAC